AAAGAGTAGATTAATCATGCCCATCTACAGCATTAAGCCCTAATGGGATGCATGGTCACAGCCTCACAGATAATATTAATGGCAGTGGTAAAATGGGTAATCATCAACTTTATTATGCCTCCACGCCGAAAACTGCAGAGGCATTATTTTTTTATTCTTCTCCATCCATCCGTCCCATTCTTGTAAACACAATATCTCAAGAACGCCCTCTAGGAAATTCCTAAAATGTGGCGCAAATCTCCACTTAGTCAAAGCTCAAAGGGCAAGGTCACTGTGACCCTGCATCCATCCCATTCTCATGCATGTGGTATCTCAAGAACACCTTGAAAGTATTTCTTAAATTTGGCACAAACGTCCACTTGGACAAAAGGATGAACTGATTAGATTTTGGTGGTCAAGATCAAAGGGCAAGGTCACTGTGAGTCTGCTTCAGCCCCATTCTTGTGAATGTGATATCTCAAAAACACCTTGGGGGGATTTCTTCAAATATGGCTCAAACATCCACTTGGACTCAGCAATGAACTGATTGATCTTTGACCACCAAAATCTAAAGGGCAAGGTCATTGTGAGCATGTGTCCACCCATTCTCATGAACGTGATATCTTAAAGCTGTATGTAAGAATGTGGCCAAAATGGTTACTGCACTCAAATTCAAAATACTGCTGCGAGTCATGTCCGCCCCCCCTCCCCTACAGATTCAAGGTTGCTGGACAGCGGCACACTGGAGACTGATTTGTTTGCCCACGGGCGGCTGTGTCCTTGATCTTCGGTTTTCCAGCTGACCGTTCGAGCAAGTCCGGCTTCTCTGCTGCTAACGCTGCTGCCGGGATACAGCTGAGGAGACTGCTAATGCTATGTATGGGGACACTGCTAATGCTGCTTGCTGTGCTGCTGTAGCTCAGTCGTAACTGTAACTGATGCTGAAACTCTTCTGACTGCGTGACTGGTAGACGGTGGTGGGTGGCGCAACAGGCCAAAACACAAATTCAAAACATAAACATGATTTGTGGACCGTAAAATATTTTTTTAAATGCGAATATTCTGGCTGTACTATTGTTGTCGGTGAGATCAGTATGTTATATGAACATTATTCCTTAGTCTCTGTGACATATTAGGATGATTTTACGGCTTTTTGCTTTAGATTTCTTACATATAGCTCCTTTAAGAATACCTTGAGGATATTTCTTTAAATTTGGCACAAACATCCACTTTGACTCAACGATCAACAGCTTAGATTTTGGTGGTCAAAGATTAGGGCTCAAGGTGACTGTGAGCCTGCACCCACCCCATTCTCATGAATGTGATATCTCAAAGACATCTTGAGGGTATTTCTTCAAATTTGGCACAAATGTCCACTTGGACTCAGCAATGAACTGATTGATCTTTGACCACAAAAATCTAAAGGGCAAGGTCATTGTGAGCATGCATTCACCCATTCTCGTGAACGTGACATCTCAAAAACCCCTTGAGGGTATTCCTTCAAATTTGGCACAAATGTCCACCTGGACGTATGGATGAACTTATTAGATTTTGGTGGTCAAAGATAAAGGTCAAGGTGACTGTGAGCCCGCATTCGCCCCATTCTCGTGAACGTGATATGTTAAGAACGCCTTGAGGGTGTTTCTTCAAATTTGGCACAAATACCCACTTGGACTCCAGGACGAACTGATTAGATTTTGGTGGTCAAAGGTCACTGTGACCGCACAAAACATGCTTTTGGCCATAACTCAAGAATTCATACAGTAATTATGACAAAATGTCACACAAATGTCTAATATGATAAAATGATAACATTTTATGTCCTAAAGGTCACAGGTCAACTTCAGTCTGACATCATAAATCACTTTTCCTGGCAATTATTTAGTGTCATAACTCAGGGATAGAAGAGGACATTTGGTCTGATACTTAATCGGTGACACTAGTCTTGTGTGTCCACCTTGAAACTGTGCTGATTGTAAAGCTCTTCTGTGCTGCCAGGTTTAAGATGTGTGTGAAGCATCCCGTTTTAGAACCTATAGCTTCTTTTTAGCAACATCCACATTTGAAGCATCGTCTACGGTTATGGCTACATGAGTCTGGACAAACACGGATGTAAAGTGCAACTTGGCTGGTTGGTGGGGGCACACAACTGCAAGAGAGTTAGTGTTTTAGAAGGAAATAAATGATCTGTTCTTATTTATCAACCAGCACATTTGTGTTTATTTGAGGCTGACTATTGTTTGCGTGTCTGGAAACCTTTCCCAAACTGACTAACAAAGGCTTAATTTCAGTGTAATGTTTGATAATGTTCTGACCTGTAGAATATTCTGCTACAGAGTGCAGTGTATGATTTATTAGAGAGCACTGAAGCTCAAACTGAATATGAAATTATCCAAAGATTCATGCTATCCATGCATGAGGGAAAATGAAAATAAAAACAAATTAAAACTTTTCAAATGATGTAAATGAAACCACTGCTGTGAGACTGAAAATGAAGTGTTTGTGAGAGTGAGTGAATGACACAGACATATGCTCATCAAAATGTTTTCTCCAATTCCAATTGTTGTTTTTCCATCTTTGTTTTTATCTTTCCTCTTCATTGTTGTCATTGTTTTCACCTTTTAAGTGTCTCACCAATTTCTCCTTTTGTTGTCATATTGCTTTTTATTCCAGCGTCTGGAGTAAAATGTCCTTCTCTTCTCTGCTCACAATCTCTGTTCATCTCTTCCTTCAAACCTCAATTTCACTGTTCCATTTGCCAGTAAATCTCGCGTATAATGAGACTTCTTGATTGAGTTCATTGTTTTTAGTGCTCATAAGAAAACAGTTTCTGTATCTTTAATACAAAATATACCCAAAACATACAGAAACTACTGACTTGGTTGACTCATTTTTTCACAAATAACACTTGAGGCTGACCTTTACAGATACTGGAGCGTAATTAATAGAAAACAGCTTTCTAGAAAGAGTTTGTAATACAGTTGGCAGAAAGACATGCATGAGTCTACACACACAATATTAGAAACAGTTGCAGCAGTTCATGATTTTCTATGTTCTGACTTCAACAACTGAGTGATAACTGAGAGAAGAAGCGTGAGAAATACCTCCAGGACAAATCTTGCAGAACCCAGCTTTATTACATAGCTGTCAGTCTGTATCATGCTCATCTCTCCTGGGTCACCTCCTTCCTCAGCTGCACAGTCCCTCGCTGCCTCTTAGATACCTGCAGCACTCCCTGGGCGAACTGCTCCCAGGGTTTCCCACACATTTGTTTGTTTGTGGTGGCTCGCTGGACCGTTCATTATAGCACTTTTAGAATATTCAAGTATATATATATATATATATATATACACATCTGAGTGCAGTGTGGTGTAAACAAGTTGTACAAATGAAGGATGAAGGATTTGCCCTGCCTTCCTACAGGGGCCAACTGTGGCTCAGGAGGTAGAGCAGGTCGTCCACTAATTGAAACCCCGGCTCCTCATGTCCGCATGTAAGGTGCCCATGGTCAAAATACTGAACCCCAAATTGCTCATGCGTATAAATGTTTAAAAACTGAGTAGCAGGTGGCACCTTGTATGGTAGTGTTGGCCACCGATGTATGAAATGTGTGCATGAATGGATGAACTTACATGCAGTCCAAAAGCGCTTTGAGTGGTTGGAAGATTAGAAAGGCACTATACAAATGCAGGTCCATTTACCATTTACTATTCATATGAGTAGAGGAGAAGTCTGCTAGTCGCTAAGCTAATTTATGCAATGAAAAATGTTACAGACTGATGCTAATATCATCAGCATATAGCAAATAATGTCATATGTGTGAGGAAAATGTGTCTAGCAAATGACAAGTGTTTTATCTGTGAGTTGAGTTGAGTTGAGCAGGATCACCATTAGCTACTGCAGTGCAGCAGCCATTCTTCCGCAGGTCCACAACAACTTTACATTTGTGACAGTTTACAAAAAAACAGGACTACACTAAAATGTTGACATAGACAAGACAGCTCCTGGTTGCAGTAATTAGACGTATGCTTTTTCATGATTACACTTGGTAAGTAACCGCCAGTTTGGGGCAAAATTTTGCTCCGTTTACCTGATGATGCTCCTTGTTGTAATATTAGACCAAGTATTCACATATTACTATACATTCACATTTGTATGTTTCCATGCACACAATACACATGCATTAAAAGGAATAGTTTCCAGGAAAAACAATATTTTTACCATGCATGAAATTCATTACAGTGTATGAATCATATTACATAGGTCACTTTCTCTTGTAGTCAAATGTTGCTGTTACGTCATGTTTTATATTTGTCTCATGTCTGTTGGTTGAATCACTCAAACGTAACTGCGCTTCTCAGAAACTCAACTTATTGGCAAAGAAACTCCACCGCCAGATAGCGTTTTGGAGGTGTAATTGCAGAGCAACACAGGCACATGATCACACAAGTATAAATGCTCCGAAGGGCACTTGCGTAGGCTGCGTAGGCTTTGTGTAGAGCCTACATACAACTATAAATCAGCCTTTCAGGTTACAGCTTCCACTCAGGGTAATTTAGAGTGTCAAAATTTGAGTCCTGTGAAAGCAGCTGTTTTATCTGCAAACCAGTGCTCAATTTGTAATATGTCTTCAAGGTTGAGTTTTATTAAATTTAACCAGTGTCCTCGACTTAGCCATTTGGCCTCAGTGTTCTGCACTGTGACCTGTCTTTACACTGCCATATAGCATTCTTTGTGCAGTGAATTCATCACATAAAGTCTTAAACTCTGCTCTGTCTGACTCTGTTTTGATTGTGATGCAAGCCAAGAGAGAGAAATGAAATTAATCAGTCTCGGGGCTCAGAGTGGAAATAACGTCTTTCATGACTTAATTTGAAAGGGAGTTGAGACATCAAGGTGATAGATTGAATTACACATTTGCTGAGAATTATTTTTACCAAACTATTTTACAATAGAAAATGATTTGCAGGCAATGAATTTTGAAACGACGCACTTAAACTTTTTTTTTCTGCTTCTTTTAGCTTTGCTTCTGCTGTATGATGTCACCAACAAATCATCCTTTGACAACATACAGGTAGGTTACACTTTGTTGCTCATTGCACTACCTAGAAATGTTTTGTGTCATATCCTGAGACCTCTATCAATTGGAGTCTGTTGCATTGTTATTCTTTCATAATCATTTTCAAATGTCACGCCTGAGATGGTAATTTGTAATTAGATTAATTAAGTTTCTCATCAGATTAATTTTATCGATTGAAGGACAGTGGCTAGATCATGGCCACAAGCGTTGACTGACTGATCAGATGTTACGGCTTTGTAATGCCGAAATGCTGAGCTGCATTGTTTGTGTCGTCTCTGACAACATCTTTAACCCACGTTTTTATCAAAGTCAGTCCATGTGACAGATGGTTGGACAAGCAGAGAGCGATCTGAAGAAAAAGGGGGAGAGAAAGACAGCAGAATAAATAGGAACAAGAGGGAGACTGAGTGTGATGCAGCGTGGTCAGCTTTTATTCAAAACTTGTCCTTTGTGTGGACCACAGGGACGAGTTTGTCCTCTAGCATCTGTCTCCTTCCCCCTCTTTCTCTCTCTACTGGACTCTACTGCATACAGCAAGGCAAAGGATACATGATGCTGATTGTTGCTTGGCGTGGCTGCTTGTCTTCTTAAAGTCAAATATTGGCAGTCAGGGAAAGCAACATGTATCATAATGATTGTGTCAGTGTTCAGTTTTAGTATGAAGTCATAACTGAAGGGTTATATCTGCCCTCTCTGAAGCCGTACCTCCTCTGCTTTTCTTTTTCCCAGAGCACCTTACCTCTAAATATATTAAGCTGAAAAGGAATGGCTTTTATTAAGCATTTTAGTTCAGTTAAGCTTTATTTTATTAGTCCTTGCAGGGTCACTTGTCATCTGCATTTGATCTATCCAATCAAAAGTGAGCAGTCCCAGAGACTGGCTCCAGTGCTGAGGCAGGTGTCATGGACAATAGCAGTAAGATGTATGTCTTTGGATTGTGGGAGGAAACCATTATAGATAGAATATGCAAGTGGCCCTGGTGAAGTCGACTCCTTTTCAACCCCTTTTCCACAAATTTGCTCTGGTTCTTGATGCGGCTCCATTCAGATTTCTTCAAACCTTGGTGCCGACTAGCAAACCAGCCTCAGTCTCCAACAGTTTTGAGCGGAACCGTTGACATTAAGGATGTGTCACCTACAGAGAGTTGTACAATGCCCAACCAAAGTAAGCAGGAGTAGCAAGACTGATTGCATTGATTACCTTTGAGCTTTTGTTCTGTACTTACAAACAAGTATTGGCCAACTCATAATGATAAAAAGACATAGACGACTGTTACATGTAAGACTCCATTGCCTCTCTTCAGCCCACTGATGTCTTCATGGTTTGTACTTCAGGTCAAGGAAAACCTGCTATTTTTTGGTTGTAATTGGGAACCAACCTTTCAGTTTCCGAACCAATTTATCTTTGGTTGAAATGTTCTGAACGGTTTTAAATTAGGTGCATGATAACATCTGACTTATTAAGGCTCATTAATACTCCCCTTACTTATGGAAATAAATATGTCTGCATCCTCTATCATGGCATAGATATAGCCAATAAAGGGCACTAGAGGACAGTCAAAAGTTTCACACACCAACAAATGAGGAGGCAGTGTGGAGGAGGTTGTAATATTGTACCTTTAAATGGAGGCAGCATTATAGATGGCAAAGATCTGTGCTGCCATTATATACATCCTGACATGTGGATAGAGAATTCTTCTTCTTCCACCTTCTTCTATCTCATTTGAACTACACTACACTTGTCTCCATGATCTGCGGTGGCACTGCTCTGTTTTGTCCGTATCCTTAAGCTCACAGAAAACATGCACAGATACAGACGAAATGAAAGCAGAGTATGGACGGAAGGCTCCGTTTGTCTCTGTCTCCATATTTAGCATTGAGCATACATGTAAATGAGTCCTTAGACGGTCTTTTAGTACAACTCAACAGTAAACAAGACTTTCTCAGGTGACCAAAATGTTACAAGTAACTTTGATGATCTGAAAACATACTGAAATAGCAACAGCTACACTTACATCCTGTGAAACGGGGATTACACTATGGTTAATGTTACCTATGCAGCGTTGTTGTCGTGGCAGCGACTTGTCAACGGACAGCATCTACCTGTCACTTAAAACCACGCCCTTAGTTACGCATAACTTCAGGCCTTGATAAAATGTTAATGGGTAATTTATATAAAGATTCACCCTGACAGTTGTCATGAAATTACCTTAGACCAAGACCATTTTTTGTACCATGCTATAAATATATTTATTTCTGCTTTCAAGTCAGGCGTTTTAACGTGGAGGTATATGGAGACTGACTCTGTTTTGGAGGTAGCCTTTAGAGGCCATTTGAGGAACTTTGTTGCACTTCTACTTTGCCTTCATTTTTTAAGCCTTGGAGATCGCCAAACATCAAAATGTTGTGGCTGTATGCACTCTGGCAACAGAAACACTGAAAACAGATTAGATGATGAAGGATGAAACTGGTAAATCACCTGAGCACCCATGCAAAAGAAACCATTCATTAGTACAGTGGGTATGATTTTATTTTTTACATGAGCAGATAGATACACGGCTTTATAAACTGAGCAGTTAACACACTGGTATAAAAACCTGTGCCTGAGCATAAAGCGTTATTTTAAAAAAAGAAAAAAGACTAAGAAAAGGTTGTTTGCTGCAGTCTGTCCTGCTGAACACAGCAGTTTACAAATCAAATCAAATTGGCTAGCCAGACATATTCCTTTATTGATTCAGCTTGTTACAAGAAAATGAAAATTCAATACAAGTGAGCAGATGGCCAGTCTGACATTATCATATATCAATTATGTGTATATTGACAAAAAAAGAGCATAGCAGTATGCATTGGCCACTATAATGGCTTTTAATTGTTGTATTTTATTCAGATAAGTACATTGCTTTAAGGTAAGTTTACACTGAGATTGCTCCCTCAAGTAGAAAGTTTTTGTTCATTTTGTTTTGTTTATCCACAGAAATTCTAAAGCGAGTTGTGAAAGTATAGAAAGGAAGACAGGAAATAAAAACAAATACAGCAAACAGGATGAGGATTTCAAAGGATACGAAGAAGTCAAACTGGGAGTATATCCCTACAATCAGTCAGACAAATAATTCATGATTGTAGAAAACAAGTGTCGCACACTCTGGCTCTGTGTGCATTTCTTTTATTTTGATGACATTCTGGCCTTTGGGCCTTCTTCAAGATCAACAAACGTTTGAACTGATGCTTGTTGATCTTGAAGAAGGCCCAAAGGCCGAAACATCATCAAAATAAGAGAAATGTGTATGGAGCCAGAGTGTGCGACACTTGTTTTCTACAACAAGTCTACTGATCAGCACCACATTATGATTCTTGGTGTATGTTGCTTTTATATTTCAAACATATTTTTATATTTCAAACATAAGGAAAATAGGGTTAGTGTGTTCTTTTTTCAGTCCTTTTGTATTGCAAGGAAACAAATAGCTTTCATTTCTGGGAGGAATACTAAACCGCACCACTTGTCCCATTTTATGAGTATACCGTAAAACATCTCACACCTGTGAAGGTTCACAGCAGTTAGGAGCACAAAATGGCTGCTTTTTAGAAACATCTTAATTGCCCATTACCTTTGTGGTGTCACTATTAGGGCTTTGACGTTGGCACTTTTGGCTTCGCAGAGTCAAATCATGTCATGTTGAACTGTGTTTCCATCACCAGGTTTAGCCGGTGACCTCCAGGGCTGAAAATTGAAGGCATCGCAGAAGTGGCAAAACTGTAGTTTCTCTTATGGCCACTTGAGGCTGGCTCAAGAAATGAGTCAGTCCACACAGAGCCCCATGTTTAAAATACTCAACTTTACAGCAGGAATGTTTACAGAAAACAGCGCGGAGCACAGAGAAGCAGTCAGAGCTACAGGCTACAGTGAGGCTAAAAACAGAGTTCATATGATGTTTTTCGAAACAACTTTTTATGTTGTTGCTTCAGTACACTTGGATCACTATGGATGAGCAGTATGGAGATACTTTGTGGATTCAATTTTGTGTTCTTGGTTTTTAGTCTGGGGCTCCTTCTTCCATTATGTGTGCTTTCTGCTCCTCCCGCTTATCTCTTCAAGGGATGTGAGGACTCTAAAACTTCACCAGGGCCTCCGTCGGCATATGGGTGAGTAGATAATGGCTGAATTTTCATTTTTGGATGCACTCTCCCTTTAAGCAGGCGGCGGTGATGTAAGGTGGGCTTCGTCAACATTCAGTGACAATTAAGCAACATTGCATCTCTGTTTTTCAAGCAATAACAGAGAGATGCCAATCAGACTCTGAAAATCCATGATGGTATGTAGCAGGCTACCAGCAAATGTTGCACAGTGCAGTAGTAAACAACACTAAAAATGATGCTGCTTTTGGACGTCATCGACTCAAGACAAGTGCATCATCAGCTCAGGAAGTACTCTCAAGCAGGTAGCCCTGTTGATGGGAGATGCAAATCCTTGCCACTCTTTGCTGACGCACACAAGTCAAGCCAGGCCAGCACATGTGTAGAGAAACGGGCTATGTGTCATCGTACCTGCTGTTTCTCTCTGTGTGGTAAACGCATCCTGCAACAGGAGGGGTGGTAGTTCTCAACTAATTTAATTGACACTGGCCATCAGAAAAAAATGTCTCTTTCTCTCTGAGAAGCAAAGGGGCTGTTAAGGGAAGGAGAGAGTGTTTGTCACCAGTCTCTGCCTGAAAAATATGATGTGCCCATCTGCCCTGAGAGACCATTAAAACAGAAAAAGGCTTTTCTTTAACACCAGATGTGAACAGCAGCTCAAGGACAGACCGGGGTTTTGTGTGTGTGTGTGTACGCAGAAGGTGGACAGCAAGGACACTGATATGTTGGGCAGGCAGTAACAAAAGGGAGGACAAGGAACTGTCAGCCATCTGAAACAAAGTCTCCAGCACTGGTGAGCTGGTGCTGCAGAGGACACTCAGCCTTTGTCTTATCTCTTCATGGTCCAACACACAGTGCTGCAGG